TCTTACTAAAGTTAAATATCAGTTTCCTAATACAATAAATAAACCATTCTGAGATAAGTAAATTATTATTTAAAAATTCAATATCCAAGTATAAGGTATCAACACATTTTTAACATAGGGCTTATTTAGTCTTTTCCTTATCCATTATGAAATCCCACTATGATTCCTGCGTGCCCAACTACTATAAAAAAATGAAGCGGCACATAAGAAGTAAGTGGTAATTCAAATCATTGTTTTGTCGCATCCTCTGAATAAAACCCCATTCTCTTTTAGGATAAGGAGAAACAGACACACATGAGATAAACTATGAAATATATCACAGTTTTCCTTATTTAGAAGATGCAATGCAGATATCACAGCTAGTAAAGTCTGAATATAGGTTTCCCTAAGATTTATATCTTGAAATTTTTATACCAAGTTGACAATATTAGGAGCATTGGTCCTGATTATGTCATGAATGGGATTAGTGTCATACTAAAAGAGACTTGAGAAACCTGTCATCCTCTATTGTCACATGAAAACAAAGTTAGAAGACAATGGCAGTTCATTAACCAGGAAGTAGACTCTCTTGAGATGAGGGATCTGCCAATGTTTTTTTCTTAGACTTTGCTGACTCCAGAACTGTGAGAATTCAATTTTGTCATTTGTAAGTCATTCAGTTTCTGCTGTTTTGTTGTAGGATTCCAAAAAGAATGAGGTATTATTTATTTAATGTGTTTCTAAAGATTTTGAGCTATAATGTTTATAACTTAAAAATTACTGAAACACGGTAGAATATTGCTGCAGGAGATGTCCCTAATTTTGTTTTGAAGAGAATCCAACTGCTTTGTCATTAACACATTTTAAGGAAGCTGTTAACAAGCACCTTAATACCTGTTTCATATTGTATTGTTTTGTGTACCTGTGTTTGTTGTGTGTGTGTGTGTGCACTTTAAAAATTACTTTCTTCCAAATACCGGGAGAAACTTTGGAAGTGTAGTGTTCAGATTGTGCTGTTTACCACTGTTTTTTTTTTCTTTGTCTCCTCAATTGTTTGTGATAAACCTAATTTTTCTCAGTGCATTTGGAAAAGTAAATCATCAATCTGTTGAAAGAGATCGCATACTTTTCTTCAGTGCCTCATCTCACTTTGATCATCTGTCTTAACTCAGGTAATTATTTTCTAATTTCAGATTTTTTATGAAAATATGCCAAACTCAAAAGAAAACCCCTTGCAGAGTCAGAAATTACCTCCAAAATCAATGATACAGTGTACACAGATGGATACATTTGTCGAATGCCCAATTCCAAAATGAGAGGACTCAGGAATATTGTTTGAAACATATGCCTCGGAATGTTAAGATCGTTTTTCCCCTTAAATGGAGTCGAGTCGTATTTTATTTCTTTAAAAACTGTGTTAGTGTCTTAGAACTTCTAAACCTGAGCTAGGTGAGGTGGCACACTCCTGTAATCCCAGCAGCTTGGGAAGCTGAGGCAGGAGGATTGCAAGTGCAAAGCTAGCCTCAGTAAAAGTGAGACCCTAAGTAACTCAGTAAGAGCCTGTCTTTAGATAAAACACAAAATAAGCCTGGGGATGTGGCAGTGTTCAAATGCCTCTGAGTTCAATCCCTGATATCAATCAATCAATCAATCAAACCTTTTAAGCCTGTAAAATCTTAAATATTTTAAAATCTATTTCTAAAATCATAAATTATATGCGTTTTTTTTAACTTAGAGAAAATTTTAAAAATTTGTTTAATGTATGCTTGATGAAGCATTTATCATTATACATATGAATAGTTCTTTGTCTTTTATACTTCTGATCAAAAAGTAATGAAACAGTGATGACAATTGTTAATTATAATGTTTCCTTTACCCACTTCTCATGAAAATAGTTTTGCCTCATCTATTAGATTTTTTCAGAAGTCAGAATAATCAATGTTATTCAAATGCTTTTAACTATTACATAATAAATTACATTCATGCTTAAAGAACTGGTTAACCAAATTCTACACTACTATTAGAAGTTACTTTCTAAAATTTTGCCTATGAATCTTTCTCAAATTAGCACTAGTGCCTAATTTATGTACTGATTTTGTCTGCTTTGAAAAACCACATTACAATCCAAAATAGGAAAAGGTTTAGGGTGAATACAAGTCAGTCTGACTTGGATAGGATTTCTCACTTTTCCAGTTTCCATACACTGGACTCAATTGCAGAACACAAATTGTTCCTGGCAAGTCTTTTGCCACCACTTCCAGGAAGAGCAACACAGAAGATACTCTGCATTTCTCCGTGATAATAATGGAGTAGACAAAAGAGAGCAGATGTCCATCACAAATAAAGAGCAACAAGAAGAAAGTAAGAAGAAGAGTTTCTAGAGAAAACTATAGGAAAGATTTCTAGAAGATTTTTAAATGGGCTCAATCATCGGTGTTTTCACCTTTCACTTTCCATATACAAAATCATACATTTGTAAATTATGCACAAGTGGTATCAGTGCAAATGATAATGGCTCATAGATATATAATCTAATATGAGTCAGCTACTGTTCAAAACTATGAGAGTTGCTTGAAACATAAAAATACATTTTAAAAAGCAGGAAAAATTAATGAAAATCATCTAGTTATTGAAAAATAAATGAAATTGAACAACCACTAGCACAACTAACTGATAAAAATAAACCCAACTATGAATCAGCCTCCTTATATCAGAGAAAACATTTGTCATTTGTTTTTTGGGGATTGACTAACTTCACTTAGCATTATTTCTCAAATGTCATCCGTTTACCTGCAAATGCTATGATTTTATTCTTTTTTATTGTTAAGTAAAAATTCCATTGTGTATATATGCCACATTTTTTTTTTATCCATTCATCTTCTGAATAGTATCTAGGCTGGTTCCACAGTTTAGCTATTGTGAATTGTGCTGCTATAAACATTGATGTGGCTGTGTCCCTGTAGTATGCTGTTTCATAGTGGGGTAGGGAGGGGAAGCATGGGAGAAATAGATGAACTCTAGATAGGGAAGAAGGGTTGGAGAAAAAGGGAGGGGCAGGGAGTTAGCAAGGATGGTAGAATGTGATGGACATCAGTTTCCAAAGTACATATATGAAGACATGAATTGGTGTCAACATAGTTTATATACAATTAGAGATATGAAAAATTGTGCTGAATATGGGTAATAAGAATTGTAATGCATTCCACTGTAATTTATTTTTTAAAAAATCAATTTTAAAAAACCAACTATCAATATCAGAAATAAATAAGAATGTCAATATAGATTCTGGATCCATTAAATAAAAAATCAACTTCAGAAACAATTTTATGCACAAATTCTACAACATGGAAGGAAAGGACCACAATTTCTGAAAATCCATGAATAACAAAATCCAAACTTGAAAATATGGAAAAATTGAACAGTTTTTGGATTGGAGGCTGAGGCAGGGGGACTACAAATTTAAAGCCAGCACTAAAGATTAGCAAGACCACAAGCAACTTAGGGGAATCCTGTCTCAAAATAAAAAATAAAAAAGAGGTGGGTATGTGGTTCAGTAGTTAAATATTCCTGAGTTCAGTCCTGATACAAAAAAAAAAGAAAGAAAGAAAGAAAAGAAAAAGAACAGAAAAAAAATGAACAAATAGACATTAAATTTTCAAGCAAAATTATGACCAAAAAAATCTCTGGAACAGATTGTATCATGAGACACTTCTACTACTACATATTAAGGGAATAATCAACACCAATTTCACATAATCATATTCAGAAAATTATTTTATGAATTCAATATTATTCTGAATACAAAACAAAAATATTACAAAGGAGAAACAAAAATCTGGGGAATAATATCTCTCATATACTTGGCATAAAGATCATCCATAAAATACTAGCAAGTTAATTTAAATATTGTCTTAAAAATTATATATTATAGCTAAATGCATTTCTCTCCCATTTTGTAAGGCTGGCTTTACATTCCAAAATGAGTTAATATACTCTGCACTATAAATGTAATAAAGAAAAACATTATACATGAATGAGGCATAAAAGTATTTGAAAAATTAGGCCATTCATTCATGATAAATCTTCTTATGAAGTTATTCATAGAAGGAAATTATCACATTTTTACTTAAACATCTACCAAAGTCTAGAGGTAACATAATACCTAACGGTATTGTCTGAATGCTTGACCCCTAAGATCATGAGCAAGTAACAGAATGTCCACTATTAGAACTCTTAAAAAAAAATTCCTACTCAAAACAGTTGAGTTCTTATAAGCAGTAAGTCAATTAAAAAATGAAAGAAAAATAAAGTTATTGTAATAAGAAAAAAATGAAAATGTTAACATTTATATGATTATCCCAGCACAGTAAAAAAGGAAATCCACAAAACAAATTTAAAATACCTCCTAAAGCTAGTAGTGAGTTCAGTAAGGCAGAAAGATAGAAAATTGACCCACAAAATTTCTTTACTTTAACATATATTGGTAATTTTTTTGGTAAAGTATTCATATTGTCAGCTGTAACTCAGTTAAATTCATTTTTGTTGATATGTAGAATTCTATTATGTAAATATTAATTTTAGTATCATTCGTGATTATTGAGATTGGCCAATTTTATTATGGTATCATTCTACAAACTTTTTTGCATATTTATTGGCCATCTATCCTATTAATATATATTATTTTGTTACATGCTTTAGCTATAAGTTATCCTACTCTATGGCTTCATTTTTTAAAAAAATTTGATTCACATAATTTCTTTATTTTAATGTAATCTAAATTCAAAAAATAATGTTCTTTCATTTTATTATCTTTCAAGGATAATAATCTTATCCATCTTGTGACCAGTTTAAAAAATATTTGTCTATCCCAAATATTAAAGATATTGTCACTTACATTATGGGGTTTTGCTTGTTTTTAGAATATTCATTATTTTACCATTCATAATAAAATAAAATTTATCTGAAGGAGATTGTGTAGGATATAAAGTAATATTCATGCTTGTTTTTCACATACAGATGCATTTGAGTTGGTCACAATTTATTGGAAAGTCTGCAAAGTCATTCCAACCTTGTCATAATCCAAGGTATTGTACATGCTTTGCTCTATTTCTAACCTTTCTACTCATTTTAAAAGTAGCTCATAGATCTGTGCATACTCTTACTTTTTATTCTAAGCATTTCTTTGAATTTGAAAATGTCATGTTTTTAATTTTGAAGAAATACCAAAATTTAATTATGAAGTGTAGTGCTTTGAATGTCCACAGATATCTGGTGAATGAAGTGTTCCCAGGTCCAATCTCTGAAAATTCATATATGTGAGGAGAGATCATTGACAGGAGAGCAGGATTCCTTAAAACCATGTCAGTATTCTAAATAAAATTTAGAATCTTCCTGTTTCTGTTTTAGTCTATTCCATGACCTGCAAAATGAAGGAAATAAAATGTTATTTTATCAGATCAAAAAATAAGATAATTTTCAAGATTGTTTTTGAATCAATGAGTCAAGTGAACCAAAATCCCAATAGTAAAGTTGCATAACACTCTTTCATTAGCAAGCAAAATAAAATATACTTTTAATTTAATTGATTATTTTTTTGTGATACAGAAGCATTTATATCATTAGAACATACTAGTGAAATTAGATGATGCTTCCTGGAGACCCTTGTTTAGAAAAAGTTTGTTATGATTATGATTTGTATTTCCAATGGTCATTTTTGGACATTCACTCATCAGGCAGATGATGCTATTGCATTTTTCATAAATGAATTAACTATTGGTGGTCTAAGGAAAATCCTTAAGTGTGAGACATGTTAAGATTAAAAACGGGCTCCTGAGCTGCCTACTTAAATTCAGATTTGCTCCTGTCACCTGAGTACCGAAAAGCACATTACTTAAAACCTGTGGAATATATTTTCCTCTTTTTAAATTTGGGAATAATTAACAAAGTGTATTTCCACATCTTACATAATTGTGATAATTCTCTGAGCTTGAAATATGAAGCACTGAGAATTTCAACTAATACATATTAGTACTCAGAAAATATTAGTCATTGGGTCATAATTAGTTGACCTCCTTCCAATGTCGTATTTTTTTTCTTTTTTTTTATTGGTTGCTCAAAACATTACAATGATCTTGACATATCATATATCATACATTTGATTCAAATGGAGTATGAATTCTTATTTTAGGAAAGAATACAACAGACACTAGTATGGCAGTATGTATAAACATGGCTGTATAACCAATGTGATCCTGCAATCTGTACACGTGGGAAAAATAATAATCCAATGTCATATTTAATAATTTTACAATGCACATTTTGGTCCAAATTAGATTTTGAAAGTTTGCTTTCTGTGTTTTAACTTTTCTTCCGCTCTGGTCTGTTTTCTTAATCTCTCCCCACCTCCCTTTCCCTTAGCTCATGATGAAGCAAAAGCAGAAGCTCTGAGCAAAATTGCAAAGGAGAAAGATTAAAATACCTGCTAACAAAGCCAAGCAAGCTCTGAAAGGGCAACTAAGTCTTAAAGGAAAAAACAGTGAGGTGAGGAAAAGGGAGCATCAAGTGTGTTGTTATTTGTTTGTTTTAATGGGAAGGAATTTTCTTTAGACTCAAGCAGGGTATACTCATATCAAATGGCACTCTAATATGGGATATTAACATCTCCCCATTCTAATCCTTACCTGTGTCTGCCCAATTCTGAATGTTGTTTAGCTTAATTACCATGCTGACCATAGGATGCGGTGATGATGCTTGCCTGATGGATAAATCTTGCTCCATGGACAGTCAAGGTGAAACTGAAGAGGACTAGTGAATTTTTCATGAGATAGGAAAACAGTGAAAGTACTACACACATATGCTGTGTTCAGTGACACACTTTCATTTAGTAAGCAAAAATGTATTGAGTGCCTATTATACCCCAGGCACTGTGCTCAGGTCTCAGGATATACACCCAACAGAGCAGAAAAACTGGATGTAGAGCCATCATAGCAGAAACAGAAGTGGAATATAGCAGAATTTAGAAAGAAAAAGGGAAACTGTTTCTGAGCTAAAAGGTGCTTAGAAAAATGATTGTGCAGTTTTGTGTGTTAAAGAATAGATCTTCCAGACTCATCTTTGACCAAACCTCTTCAAATACATATTTTACAGCACTGTAGAGAATTATAGAAATAAAGTTTTTAAAAGCCTACATTTTTTAAACAGAGATCTGGAAATTTCTAGAGGGGGAGACTAAGAATATGTTAGCATGTTACTACAAGACTCATACTCTTTAATAATACTAATTTTAAAATATGTAAAGTGTTCAGAAAGCAAAAATGAAAAATAAATATATAATTCAGGAAGCCTTTTTGTTAGTTTTGGTTGATATATAATATCACATGATGAAGAGAGAATAAAATTGTTTTCCAAACTACTTTCATGTGTACATTTTATTTTCTGTGTAAAATACAGATAGTGCACTTCATCCTCAGTTGCACAGTTGTTTTATATCTTTCTGATTGCTGATAAAGGTGTGTGTATGTGTGTGTACATTTGAAGAAGTATTACAAAATACAGCCATACAAGTATAATTGTATATTTTTATTAGATGGATTTTAAATGACTATAGAAAATGTATTTTAAAAACTTTATTTCTATTGTGTTTCACAGGATACATATATGCAAATTTTAATGCAGCTCTAGTTTTCTTGATTCTTTTTTTGCTGATATCTTTAAACTGAATTTTCCTTCTCCATTTACATGTTTTTGAGATTGAGTCATTTATCCACTGCAATTATAAGATGGTGATATTATCCAAGAAGGTAATATTCTTCATTGTATTGGGCTTATAGTTAATTTAAATAGTGTAAGGTCAATTCAATATTGTAATTGAAAAAAGATTGTTTTATTGTTGGGTGCTTTTGGCATATTGCCTATGGGCCATTTGCCAGATTAATAAAGATATTCAGTGTTTTGTGTCCCTGATATTTCATATTTTTGCTGATTTTGAACCAGGGCCAGTATGTTCTTTTTGAATTTTGTAATTCATTTTCCCCTCTGAGTCAAGTCTCAAGTTGATCTACCTTGACTTTGATTAGTAAATTGATAGAATTGCCATTCATCAAGTAGATTGTTTCTGGCATGTTCATAAAA